AAAAAAAAAAAAACGCATCTGAAAGGATCTCCTACTGCACCTTTAAGCCATAAAAAATAAATAACAAAAGGTCAGTTCAGGTGTTTTATAAAATATGAGAATCTGGAAATTGTCTATATGATAAACTGAACGATTGTTGTTCTCTACTTCAAAAACAATTTAAACATGAAATGGGAAAACTTGTTTTATTCAAAATTTCAATGTATAAGAAGGATGCATAAAAAACGTATTTGATTTCAGTGTTAAATTCTGTTTAAAGTAACAGATTATAATTAAAAATGTCAGTTTTTTTAATTGGTTACCCCTGCTTTACGGCATTTGAGAACTTTTTTAATTTCACTCCAGCCTACCTGAGCTGAGAGGAGGAACGTCATCCGTGGAGGAAAAGTCCAGCGTGGCTCCGGCGATGTCCACCATCTCGTCATCGTCGTCGTCGCCTTGGTGATGCAGCCCTTCGTAGCCGCCGCTGCCGTATCCGGGGTTTTCCATCCCTGCAGGAGCTGTTTGAAAACACAACAATCACAAGACAGGGGGGACGTTCAACTTCCAGCAGTCCTTTACCTCAACCAATTACCTCTGTCCACGCAGGGCGGATTATCTCGATACAGGCTCGTTAAAAACAACTAGGACACTGGCCCTGGAAAGTCAACCGCTCCAAATAAATGTTCAGAAATATGTTATAAACCCCCCTCTATGTGTCCACTCCTAACACCCAAGCTAGAGGTTACATTAGTCGAGTTAAAGTAAAGTTTAAAACCACTTCCGCTCACTTTTCTTACTGATACCTCGGTGGTTTAGCTGGTGAAGAAAACGTCTTAAAGATAATTACACAAGCTTGGTGTAATAAACAGGTTGCAGCTAGCGAGCAAAGTCCGACATATGAAAACAACCACAGGCTAACTTCTGCTATTATAACGGTTAGCACCAATATGCAACGTTTAGCCTTACTTTAGCCTTCGGGATGATAGCAGCTCAACGAAGAAGTCGCACCGTCACCGTTAGTTTTGAGTTGGACATTCGAGTGACACTACGGTTAAAACCCCTTCTTGGCACCGTTTAAACCTCTTCCTTGCTCCGGTTAAACCTCTTCTTTGCTCTCGGGTACGCAGCAACCGGCGAAAGCCGCTTTAGTATTTCAAGTGCACCCTTCTACAGACTTTACGGTAAAAAAAAAAAAAAAAAAAAAAGCGGCGGAAGAGAATGGCTACAGAGTCTGCCGACTTCCTGTTTTCAAAATAAAAGTAATTTTTGAAGCTG